GACACCCACGTGCGGCTCCAACCTCGGGCCCTCCCAGATCTTGGGGGGGGTCTTCATTTCCAGCCTCCTGCCGTCCCCGAACTCTGCCCTGCTCAGTCCTGCAGCAGGAGGGGGGGCAGGCTCGCCCTTCTCCGGAGAGCCCAGCGGCGCAGCCCAGGTCTTCCCCTCGGTGGATCTGGGCCCGGCCGCCCCAGTTTCTCTTCTCGTCTCTGAGCAAAAGCTGCGGCTGGGCTGGCGTCACCCCTGCGGGTGTCCTCAGAGAGAACCGGGGTGGGAGGGGTCCCCACAGAGCCCGGCAGCCGCCTTTTCCTCCCTGCAGGCCCCCCCATGCCCCCCCCGCACTGGGCCCGGCCTCACCTGGGGCAGATGAGTCACTTCTGAATGAAGGTTCGGGGCAAAGGAGTGGGCCGGGCCGGGCCAGGGGGCGGTGGGGCTCGCCCTGGGTGGCCAGCAGCTGCCAAGCAGGGAGACAAGAGTCCTCCTTCCAGGCCTGGGCTTGAACAGGTGTCGGCCCGGAGACAGGCAGCGGGGGGGGGCACGGGAATCTCCCCAGGGGAGTGGGTCTCCTTCGCGGACCCACCCAAGTCAGGGCAGGAGCGTGTCTGTCGAGGGGGGCGGGGCTCCTCCGTGAAGGGCAAGTCCAGCTACAGACGACACCTGGCAGGTAGCTTTGCGCCCACGTTGCCCAGGAGGGGGCCGAAGCACCTTCTCCCCCACCCCACCCTTACTCCCTGGAACAAGCACCCAAAGGCCCTTTTGCCAAAAGGGTGGCTTAGATTCGGTTCCTTCGGGGAAGCCGGGGGTGGCGGCGGCTGGGGGGGAATCTTGCTGCTGCTGCCTGAAAGCCAACCCGCTTGCTTCACCTTAAAAATGGCGGGGGCCTCACATAGCCAGCTCAGGTCCTGCAAAGCTTACCTCACCAGTACAGTACAAGAAGCGACAGGCGGAGCCTTTCAAAGCAGGGCGGAGGAAGCACAGGCAGAGGAGCAGAGAGGCGCAAGGCGACGCCAGGCGGGGGGGGCAGCGGCTGTGCCAAGCCGAGCGGTGGGGTCCCTGCTGCCAAGGAGAGAAGAGGGAGGGCAGCTGGGGGTTAAGCCCATGACCATAGCCTCCCCACACAAGCCCTAAAGGGGGAAGGAGGAGAGGGCCACGCACCCCCTTTCGGAGAGGGAGGGTCCCTGTGGGTAGCCACGGGGCTGCAGGTGGGGGTGAGGATGCTTATTTCCCAGCTTGGCCCCCACAGAGTCCCCTCCGGCCAGAGTGGCTGTTCTGGGAGCCACTGAGCCCTCCGTGCAAGGACTGGGGGCTGATCTCTGTGCGCCCGCGCATGTACAGGATCCCCCGGCAACCCCCTGCCCTGCAGCTGGATCAGACCACCATGGGGCCTATTGGGCACGCCATCATCATCATCATCTAAGTCCAGAGCCGCTCCGGGGCAGGCGGGTCCCTGGCCAAGCTGAGCCTGCCCTCTGGAGGCCACGGGAGGCACTGCAGGGCATCCTGGGGAGGACCATCATCCCTCTCAACCAGGCGGCTTCCCTGGTCCTCCCCCACTCGCCCCCCTGGAGCTCTGCCTGCCCCATGGCAAGGCATCCTCCTCTCCCCACCCCTTCTTTCGGTCTGTCCCATGGCTCCAGACGGCCTTCCAGAGACCCCCAAAGGCCGTGGCCTGCACACGCACATGGGGCAGAGGAGGGCGGAAGGGCTTCTCGGGCCAGCCAAGGAAGGGGGGCTGTGTGCCCACCAAGCTCTATGGCTCAGGAGGAGGAGGACCATGACGGCACCGGGGTTATCCCTCCCCCCCCTTGCCGTCCCTGAAAAGGAACCCACCAACACATCACACACACACACACAACACACACACACAACACACACACCCCGCTCCAAGAAAGAGACAGACACAGGGGCCTTGCGCTCTCGGGTGGGGAGAGAGTTCCTTTAATGTCACGCACCAAGCGGGGAGGAGGGCTGAGCAAGGCAGGCCAAGCCCTGTCCACACTTAACAGGAGGGAGGGCCCTCCTCCCTTCCCCTCCCTTTCCCGCCACACACCCCCCCCCGAAGGCTTTTCTTCCCAGGGAGAAATGAATGCAAACCACCACCCCCAACACCCCCCACGCCTCGGCACCAGCTGGGCAGAAGGGAACCCACTCGTTGCCCTTCTCGGTGGCAGCCACCAGGGCAAAGCCTCTGAAGGCCTCCTGCCTCATTTCCACTTGGGCTA